CCCTTCCCGCAGACTGTCATCATCCCATCCCTTCTCCCAATCTCCTTTTTTCTCACTGTCTCTCTCTACGGCTCGTATCAAGCGCGATCTGGTCTCTCGCGCGCGAGTTAAGGCCCATTTTTCGCGTGTCGCTCGTCGCTCACGTTAAAAATGTCGATATCGAGAAAAAACAATAAATTTAAATATATTCTTCAGTTTAGAAAGTATACTTATATCGAATAAATGTCTGATATATCGAACAAAATATTGTAATTAATATGTAATTTAATTTTATTATTGTGTAACTCTAATATAAAAGATTATAAAAAATCCTATTATTATAACAGTGATCCACATAAGACCCGCGTCTGTCAATACTGTAACAGAGAATGCTTTCTTATGGCAAGAACAAAAAATCACATATAAAATATGGCACATTGCAATGGAATAAATTATTAATTTTGGATTAATTATGTTCAGAAAACATAACAGTCATATATGTTATCTGAATTTGCCTACGTGTGATTGTTACTTCTAAATCTATCAAGGCACGTATTATGGGACTTTTCAGAATGGATTCCGATTGGAATTATTCCGTTTTCCCTAAAAAACACAATAGTAATCTAGAAAATAACTAAACAATTTTGATCCATTCCGAAAAGTTCCACAATACGTGTCCATAATATGTGTCAGATTTGGTTGTCACAATCTAATCGTTTTGAACGAAAATATTTTTTTAACACAACTAATAAAGTTTGTTGTTTTTTATAATTGATTTTTTGTACTTTTTATCTTTCCTCCTTTTCTCCACGATTATTCAATCATGTTTCTAGAAAATACATGACATAATGCAGCTGCAAATACAATAGACTTAATGCATCCGCGCATCTGCTTCCGGTGATAATTCTAATTAATGAATTATATCACAGATTAATACTTTTGTTTTAAAATATTCAATTCCTTTACAGTTTATTTATTAAAAAATGCTAATTTAGAAACATTATTGAATTGATTATCAATTTAATCACGTGTACTATTTTCAGCTTTGGTTTGAGACTGCGTTTCAACCGACATTTCTCGGTGCGCAGTTTGCTGAGCTGGAAAAAGATGTATGCGCAAAAATATTATTATATGCACATGTTAAAAGTGCATTTCTACTATTATTTGTGTTAAAATTAAATCAGTTTGCGAGTATAAGTTTAAAAATATTTTATTCGATATTCTATTTACTCGATTTTGTGTATTAAGTGTAACAATAAATATAGGATATTAATAACCTTTCTCTTTCTTAATTTATGTCGCGACTCATCTGTGACGTCGACGCGACGATGCGACGCGACGTGGCGAGTGCACCGCCATCGCGTCGACGTCGAGAGTATACTGCCGATAGCGTCAACGTTGCATGAGTCATCATGCTTAGTACTTAGCCGATGTGCACTAGGAATGTTAAATGCGTCCAATAATATGATATCAACACGACGATATCAGATAACTTATTGTTATTTTTTTTTTTTTTTTTTTTAATCTAAGAAGCGCTTTGGAGCCACGAAATTCTAACGCTTGTTTTACGCCGCGGAAGGCGAATCAACGACAATTCCCTCCCCGAGAAGAAGATTGATCGAAGGGAGGAAGAGAAACAAGAATATATCCTGTTTACACGCGTCTGCTCCGGTACAAACTGGTCTGTTAGGTGCTAACTTTGTGTGTTGTCAGATATTGCGGCATAGACATAGACAAGAACTCTAATAACTCATATAAACAATTAGGGGTGGGATTCATGATCAGATTTATAATATATTTAAAATCGTCTTGAGTACGATCTCTAGACATTTTACAATCATTTTACTGGATAGAATCTTAAGACGGCACTTAAAATGACTTTTAAAATGGTGCGCGAAAGATTAAGCTTGCAAATCAAGTATTGATTATTGAATAGCTTCAGAAAAGAAAAAAACGATCGCTCCCCGTTGTTTTACTGTTAAACGATGACATAATACGAGATGTATTAGTAAAAGTAGACCAAAAAATGAGAATTGAGAAGACTCTAAACCGGGTACGTATTATGGAGCTTTTTTGGAATAGATTCCGATCTCGGAATTGTTTGGTTATTTCCTAGATGTGTTCCTTCTATTGTGTTTTCTAGAGAAAACGGAATAATTCCGATCGGAATTCATTCCGAAAAGTTTCATAATACGTGCAGCCCTGATCTCTAGACACGGTTTTAATTAAAATTTATTTGTAATTAAAATTCGATCATATTGAAAGGATCATTAATGCAACAATAACATGTTATGCGACTTGCTATCCATAATATATTCTTTCTACTGAATCAGAATAACAGTACAAATGGATCATGGTCATATCTACTTTAAAGCACGATATAAACAATATCTACTTTAAAGCACGATATAAACAATATCACAAAAAATATTTGTTAAAAATATTTTGAAAGTGATTGCGTTAAGAGAAGCGGACTTTCCTCGCATTCGATCACAATACCATCAATCTTTTCAACAGCAGGAAAGAAAATATTTATTTTTTACTATCCGTTAATCGCTATCCAATATTTTGCACGTAACGCGTACGTATAATTAATGTAAAATTAAATCAAATTTTACTGTACAAATCAATTTTGTTTAATTTTATCAATAATTGGACAAATTAAGTTAAATGAGAGAATTTGATTAATTAATTATAACGTATATGAATGAAGACACTTTTTTATTCCTTTTTTCCATAGAATGCGCATCTGTCCGAAGGACACGGGGAATATCGCGATCTAGAGCATCGGCCTAAACGAGAGAGAAAGAGAGAAGATATTTTCAAGAATTTCCATAAATTGTAAACTGATTTTGAATAAGAAAGCGAGCATAATGCTACAGATTCACTTCCCGTTTGTTCGGTGCCCTTTCATCGCTGAACTTCCGTAAAATTGTTATATCGATTGCGCCAAGGTAAGGGGACCACCTCAGTTATTCTTTCCCTTTTCCTATACGCGAAACTCATATGCATATGAGGCGAAACTTGATGAAACTTTCGCGTTCCGCTTACGCGCATTAATTAACCGGGACGCTGACGGTGCGCCGATTAAGTCGCGCGGCGTCTAATTATAGTGGCTGGCTAATCAGGTCGTGATACGAAGATTTTATTTACGCCGCGATATATGTGGAAGACACGTATAAAAGCCGGTATATTGCGGGGAAACGGTAGCGGCGCGCCGCCGTGGTGTTTCACCACCACATCGCAGCGTCGTCCTTGAGGCCTCCGGCGAATGACTATTTTCTAGGCAAGGCCACCCTACACCAGCTGCGGTGTATGTTTATCGGTTTATCAATGACATCGTCTCGCGAACGGTTGTTTTGCAGAATCGGCCTTCTAGACTTAGGAGTGTGAAAAAGAGCGCTCATATAGTTGTGCGTTGTGCGCGATTTTCCTTGAATAAGATGCTATCTTATCGATATAGAAACTCTTAGTAAGACAATTCTTTAATCATGAGCCACCGCGTACCGAGAAAGAGAGAAAGGGGGGCAATTGGGATCTGGAAAATACGAATCATAGATTTGATCGAAAAATAATCACAGACGATTATTACTCAATGCACTCGGATTAATTGATAACCAAGGTAATGCACGGTGTATTCCACAATACTTGCTACCTACTGGTCTTGCACGATTAATCTGTTAACTGTCGTGATGATTGTCGCGGTGGTGGACGCCTGATTTTTTAGTGACTCTCCGGTGATCATTGATGATCGGCATTACCAAAATTTCTCAAAACATTTGTAAGATAAACGCCATCTAATATAACATTTTAAACCGAGATTAAAATTAATCTACATTGGTAGAAATGAACATTAGACTGTATTTTCAAGGATGTTATATCGAGGTGCGTTCAGGAATTACGTCTAGGCACACCTAGGTAACTCTAATGCTAGTGTACGTGACGTAAACTATAGCTTAGAGCTTAGAGTTACCCAAGTTGAATTTCTGAACGCAACCTTGAATAGCACTATCTACATTATATTATTCAATCATATACAATATTTTATCATTATATGCTTATGATCATGAAAATCCTATTACATCGTACACGATAAAACATATATAAGAATTCGTTGAGCGGACAAGATGTTATTATTGCAAGCAAAAGCGAAATATTTCATTATGTAAGAAAACCTAAAATATCGTTCGGCCCATCTTATTCTGCGTTCGTAGAATAACTATGAATATATTGCGCTCTCAAGAACTTTGTGTTAAGAAAGTCGGAGAAAACAACCTCTTAAGTGACTACATACATACTTCATAGTTAATCTTCCTGGCCAGAGACATTTTATAAAAGAAATCTCATGATGTTTCTAACATTATATATTATTTTTAGTCATAGTCTATTGCTATATTTATAATAAACTCTGTACGATCCAAGTTATTCTCTTGCCAGTGATAGTGACTCGACACAATCGATTTGATCCAAAGATCCTCTTTTTTACGTCCACTTGAACAATCCACGATGTGTGACAGAATACTATTTAAAATTTCATGTGCAATTGTAATACGAAGAGCATTTGAAGTACAAAACGCACGCATAAAGTACATATTGAGTCCAGTTTAGATGACGATCTACAGTTTGCTTTAGATTTTAGGATAAACGTCTATTCAAAATTTTGTATGTTTTATGTATGTGTTTTTTAATATATAGTTTACATTTGTTTGCGCATTTCAAATTTTGCGAATATTTTTCGTGTTATACGGTACACAAAATTATAAACGGAATTCTATCTTGCATTCCGATACGAATTATATATTTGAAGTGAGCTTAAATAAAGAATTCTGTTACTGATGAAAGCACCGTTGTGTGTTCGCAGCTTGAACAAGATGCACGCGATGGAGGGTGCAGCCGAGAGCAGGCGAAAGGTGGACACCGCGGAGGACGACAAGACATCGAGATCGTCGCCGTCGCCGAAAGTACCCCAGAGCCAGCAGAACGGCGCCGCCCTTCCGGAGGAAACCGCGGCGGCGCCGGCGGCGTCGGTGGGCCGCGGACGCCCTAAGAAGAAGGACGAGTCGCGCTGCGACACCGAGACACCGAACGACACGAAAGACAAGCAGTTGCTTGCGAGCACGTCGCGGCAGAGTACGACGACTCCGAGTGACATTGTGCAGCCGCGTCACGTTAAAGCGGCGTCCGAGCCCGTCGAGATCAGAAAACGAAAGTCCACTAACGGACAGCTGATCTCCCTCGGGAATCCCAGGAAGAAGTTTCGCGACAACTCCTCGCGAGAGGAGTACATTTCGAGGATCGTGGGCGACAGCGAAAGCATCGCTGACCTCGTGGCAAAGGCCGATCGACTGCGAGCCGATATTTTGGTGAGTGTTCGGCGCTGCGATCTCTCATTAAGAGTGAAATCACTTCTTTTTAAGCATATACATATATATGCTTAAAGCCTAAACAGTATATTTATATGTCTATCCACAGGCTCTTCAAAATTTAGCACATGACAAAGAAATGGAATGGAACGAGATCTTGCGGAAGAGGAAGCTCAAGGAGGAGGCATACATGAGGATCGAAAGGAAGATACAAACAACATTCTACATGGAAAACGATAGTCAATTGTCGGAGACTTTGCCGGCCACTAGGTCGTTTTTGGGCTCGGCCGAATGGGAGAACATCGCCAACACCACTTCGATATCGAAGGAGAGATCTTTCGGATGTAAGGAGGATCTAGGGGAGAGATCTTCAGACTCATCGGGCTCGAAGAAAGAGAAAACCAGGAGAGTTAGCTCGCAACAACGGGCGACTCCTCCGAAAACCAATGGCGAAAGCAATCGTAAACAGAATGACGCGTTGAGCCCGGAAAGTCGGCAGATCGGAGAAGGTCGTCAAGGTGCGATAGTGGATGTCAGATCTATTATCGCCGACCATAGACTCAAGCATCCGGAAACCGTACCAAGAAGGTAAATAATTACAAGTAAGAGAATGGAAAAAAGGCTTGAAAAAAGGGGATATTTCACAATCACTTTTTTAAACGGTCAAAATACATTTTTATAGCAAATATAATTTCAAATAAAGAGATAAGATTAAGTTGACAATTAAAGAAACAGACTTGTTTCTAAGTATACACAGATTTTGATTATACTACAACAGAGATCTCTTATTGTATACCATGAACACATATACAACACTAAGATCGGTATTTATATAGACGATCTTAAATATAAGATCCGACTATGAATACTGGGCTAAGAAAAATAAACTTTTATGAAAACAACTTCGTTTTTTTGGATTGTCAAGCATAATTTTCAATTGCAGAGGTCGAAGAATGAGGAATTCAAATGTGAATATCAACCTCGGTGCTGGCGGCGCCATGGTCGAAACTGGGCACAATGCCGATTCGAGACCGTCTAGCACAGAATCGTGCAAGAGCAATCCAAGCGCGAGCGATTCCATGAACTACAAAGACATGCTAGTGCAATTTGCTAAGATAAGTCAGCAAGGTAACATCAGTAACAGTTTTTTTTTAATTGATTGAATTTATATCGTGAACACCGAAGAAACAATTCGCAATTATTCGTGTTTAGGTGAATCGATCAAGGTCCCGCAGAATTATCCAGACGTGACGCTTCATCCTGTGACACCTTCGTCTGCCCAGAATACGTCTCAGCCGACCAGCTCATTGCTCCACGGAATTCTAACAAAAGCGCAAACACCGAGATCCACGACTTTTTCACCTACTTTAGCGAGATTACTCACCGCGCCTGAAAGAGAAAGGAGTTCTCCGGCAGCCGCAGCAGCGGCGGCAGCGGCGGCGGCGGCGTCAGCGTCTATGTCGCAGCAAAGCGCCTCGACCCAGCACCTTTTGCAGGCATACCAAGGCTCTAATCTGGTTTCTATAAATGATCTCCTATCTTCTTCCAAGGTTCTTTACTTTTTCATTTTTTGCAATTATTACTTTTTTTCGCAATTTACTTCAACATAGAACACCGCAGTTTCCTTTAAACAATGTGACTATTGCACCATTCGAATGTCAGCAGTGTAACTTGATCTTATATAATTTACATAAATAAATAGAAATAAGTATATAAATAATCTATAAATAAATAATACGAGTTTTTTCGGGAGATGCGAGTTTGAAAAATTTTAAGTTAAATCAGCAATTAGGCGAGAGATAGATTTATCTTTTTTTTTAGTAACTTAAGACTTTTTTTTCAGGCTCGCACAGAGATAACTATAACCCCTGTTGTTAACACTCCCGCGCAATCTCACTCCAACGATTTAATTCAAGTGGTAAATTTCTTTTTCAATTTGTTAATAACATGCTCTTGCGCGTGTTTGACTTCTGACCATTCTGTTAAATCCTTAGGAGGATGTAGAGGAAGAAACAACGGTAATTGATGATAGGAAAGGGAACTCGATGGTCGGAAGAGAAGGTAAACAAGTAGTAAAGGACAATCCACCTTCACCAAGCGCCCCGCCGAAATGTCAGGGATGCATAATTCGACCTGCACAATTCGTTTGCGCCGGATGCGGAAATCAGTGGTACTGTAGTCGTTCATGTCAGGTACATGTCATGTCAAGTGCACAGTTACGTATGATATACCATTCTCACATATCTACGATTTACATTAATGATCATTGATGATAATAAGATTGTATTAATATCGACAGCTTGCTGCGTGGACAACACACTCCGATCACTGTCCGCCGGAGCCCGAGAATAACAAAACCAAGACCAACGTTTAACGCCCGAGATCCCTGCACGCCCGGTGTGTACAATGGCATCAGGCGAGAGATATCAGCATAACTGAGTACGAATCTAGTCAAGGAAGGAGGTTCAAGGGTGTAATTCAGATGGAGCGACAAATGAGATGCGGAGAGAATCGAAGAGGGATTACCGCGCGCGCGCGTGTATGTGTGTGTGTGTGTGTGTGTCTGTGTCGTATTGATATAGTATCAGGAAGATTCTTGTCGAAGCAAATGGATGATATTGTCCTATTTATCACAAGCATTTACTGATCTCCCATCTCGAAGGAGATTCCACGCTACCACGTCCTGCTCTTTGCAGAACGAATTCGTGAAATTTCTTGCACTTTACTCGAGCTTTAGATGAAGAAAAATTGTCTTCTTTCGATGACGAAAATTAACAGGATATTCGATGCCATTGGGTTAATGAGCCTCGTGTGTTATGTATGTATAATTCTTTTTCTTTTAGACTTTACTACATACACTAGTCGAAAGTTTTCGAGTGCTCGAAAAACGAGCAGGAAAGGGAATAAGTAATTTCCAAGGCGCTTTTTGTGGAAGTGGAGCACAATACTAAGTAACGCGATGCTGTATATAATTTTATACAATTTAAGAGAGTTGGTCATACAGCGTCGGATTTTAGAACGTCGATTAATCGCGTGCCATGCGTAAGATCGGGGGTGGATTGAGACCATCAGTTTCGAAAGAGATATCGAAAGGTATTTACTTTTTTTACTTTTTATTAGAGAATATTTCAACGACAAATTGTAGATATTTTAAATTTAAGGAATTCGAGCGATGTAAAATTAAAATTTGTCATAGTAAATATAATAAATAAAGCAAATTTATTCTAAGATTTCTTTGTTATTAGAACAAATTTCATTAACATGGTGTGATTTGTTATAATGACAAGATTATTTTGTTACAATAACAAGATTACCTTGTTATTATAACAAAATCACTGTTGACAGTTCTCACATAAAATTGGTTTGTCATTTACTATGACAAGTTTTATATTACTGGACATTATTGTTTGCAAATGATTAATGTCCAATTATTTCAAGTTATGTATGCGTATCCATATAGATATTTTCCGCTTGCTCAATCCGCCCTCATATATAAGATTCGTTTTCCATAATTGACCTTAATGCTCAAGTTAGACAAATAACTTGAGTATCTTTTTTATATCCAATCACGGATTATTATTCTGGTTTCTTTTTCTTTCATTGTTTTTTACATTGTAAGTACAAGAAATCCCTGGACAGAGCATTTAACCAAGAAACAAAAAACAAATATTAAATTGGTACTCCTTGTTAAATATCCAATACATATATTTGCATATTACACAGTAACGTATAATATATCTTGTTTCAAATATATTTGTATATATATAAATCTTCAATTTTGTTATATTGTATACAGAGATAATATAAAAAGATATATTGCAATTAATTTAATTTTATTTGACAAATTGTGTATTATGATCAGAATGAAATATTTGACAGTCTCCTCTCATTTTCTCTCGTTCGTTCACTCGCTCGCTCTTTCTCCATGTAACTTCAGTTCCCTTAAAATCCATTTTCCCAAGAACTTCAAGCTCTGTCCAGTTATTTCCTTATCCTTCGTGATTTACATGAGTTCCGCGTTATAAGACGCAGATCACGTGAGCACGATTCAGGGCCTGTGTATATTGAGACGAATCTACCACAAATGCAACATTTTATATTTGTTACCAACCCGTATGTATAAATTTAACAAAAAAAATACCGTTAGTTTTAGCATTATAGCAGTAAGATGTTTTTTTTTTTATTCCATTGGTAACATATTCGCATGTTTTACATTTTTTTAAATTGATATGTTACCCCAGACGATGACTGTCCCTGACATAATCTGTAGCCCAAAGTTCCTACAGGTACATACAACATATATATATGTATAAATATATATATATATATATATATTTTTCCCAATTACAAAGCAAACCAAAATAAAGTTTTTAATCGTATTCTCTCGCCTATGTCATTTTATTGTACCGAGATTAAAATAGCTAAATAGTATGCAATTACGGAAAAAAGCGTCAGCAATGTTATAAATTAGTTGCATTTCCACTCGAAAAGGCTTTCAATTTCTTTTTTATCTCTTACAATTAATTATTCTAAATATAGACACTTTGCAAAATATTAAAATATATTGTTGGTAAAGTAGGGTGCCTGTAATTTTTCATTCATCATTCATCATTCATCTTCTCGCAGTTCTCGTTTCTCGTTTGAAGTACGCAGACACAACACTACACAGTGACATAACCTCAACCTCAACGTGATTGTTTTCACGGTGTGCCCAGTAAATGGTTTTTATATTTGGACGATCATGAGAAACGGATTATTATTAATGAAACATAGCTCTCGCGTTAATCATTGAAGAGCGGCTGCAGGATTTCTTTCACAAATCACGATGTCCATTCCACTTCTGCACGTTAGCCGGTCGTTGACGACCGCCGCGAGGTCCAAGCGGCGTGTCGTCGTGACCGGGATAGGGACCGTGTGCCCCTTGGGAGTCGGGACGCGAAACGCTTGGGAGGCTCTCGTCGGCTCCAAGTGCGGAATCACGCGACTCTCCGAGCCGGACTACGACAAGCTACCGTGTAAAGTAGGTGAGCAATTTCTGACATTCATCTAATATTACAATTGCTGTTGCCCAAAACTGTGTTGTGGTAAATAATTAAATAACAATTGATTTGTATTTAACAGCTGCACCGGTGCCGAAAGGAAACTCCTCTCACGAGCTCAACATTGACTCCCACTTTACGAAGAGCGAGCTACGCACAATGTGTTCCGCCACCGCATTTGCGCTGATAGCTTCGGAGGAGGCACTCGTGGACGCGAGATGGAAACCAACCGATGAAGCTGATAAGCGCGACACTGGGGTCTCGGTAGGGATCGGCATGATAGACCTGGTGGACGTGTGCATGACGTATGAAGCTCTGAAAAAGGGATACAGCAAAGTCAGTCCGTATTTTGTGCCAAGGATATTGCCGAATATGGCAGCTGGTCAGATCAGCATCAAGTATGGCTTCCGTGGACCTAATCGTTCGGTGTCAACTGCGTGTGCGACAGGCGCGGATGCTATTGGTAATTGATCAGCGAAAACAACGGACATTGAGTCTGTTTTTTATTGTTGAACTGGCTGCACTAGTTCAGAGTTTATCTTTAGACCTGTTCTTTTCAGCTGAACTTCTTGCACAGTTCTTTTCTCTTTTTCTCTCCATCGTGAAAAGAAAAAAAAAGGAAATTGAATCGTGCAAGAAGTTCAGCTAAAAAGAACAGGTCCCTTTTTCCTTCAATGTGGAGTAAAAAAACATAAACTCTGAACTAGTGTAGCCAGTTCGGCAATAGAAATCTGATAAACGCTTTTCTCATAACTGAGAGTAACAAATCGTTCCAGGCGATGCGTTCCGCTTTATTCGCGGTGGCGAGACAAGCGTGATGGTATGCGGCGGGGCGGAGGCGTGTATCAGTCCATTGGCCATCGCCGCGTTCTGCCGGTTACGTGCGCTGAGCACATCGAGAAACGATATGCCGCGAGAGGCGTCACGACCCTTCGACCGCGATCGCGATGGTTTCGTCATGGGCGAGGGCGCCGCTATATTGGTTCTGGAGGAGCTAAACCACGCGCTCGCCCGAGATGCAAACATCTACGCCGAGGTGTTGGGCTACGGTCTGTCTGGCGATGCATCGCACATAACGGCGCCCAGCGAGGACGGCACCGGTGCGCTATTGGCAATGGACCGGGCACTGAAGGACGCCGGTATCGAGACCTCGGAAGTGACGCATGTAAACGCACACGCAACGTCCACGCCGCTGGGCGATGCGATCGAGGTGAAGGCAATCGAATCGCTGATGGGCGAACACAGCAAAAATGTGACGGTAACGAGCACGAAGGGGGCGCACGGTCATCTCCTGGGTTCCGCCGGTAATCTGGAGGCTGTCTTCACGATCCTGGCAATCAAGGAGGGCGTCATACCGCCTACATTGAATCTGCACAACTTGGATATGGAGACGTGTTTGCGATTTGCGCCGCATACGAAAGTTAAGTGGAACGCGACGACGGCGCGTCGAACGGCCCTGAAAAACGCGTTCGGCTTCGGTGGAACGAACGCATGCTTGTGCTTCACGCAATACGTCAACTGAGTCCGAAAAGAACCTCTTAATGTGTATTCCTATCTCTTCGGTGAGAGAATATCGTACTCACTTTTTGAAATGCTTGTAAAAGGATTTCAAGAATGAACTTTGAAAGGTGGAGATCTACGAAATTGGTGGAGAACGAAAGTTATCATTTAAGCGGGCTATACATACAGAGATATGTATCAATAAATGATATCGTGATACCATCTATTGATACATATCTCTGTGTGTGTGTAGCCCGCTTTAAGAAGATGAAAGAGTGTTTTACAATATTTTATCACATCTCATGGTCTGGAAAAAATAAAGTGTGTGTCCCCCTAAAGATGTGAATGTCCAAGAGGAAAAAGAGAAAAGATGTCAATTAATCAGGTTTGGAATTTACGAAAAACATAACACTAATAGAATTAATTACTAGTCATTCCTTGAAACGCATTGACTGAAGTGAAGAAATATTCAAGGAGAAACACGTAGAATCCTAGGAAGCAGATGATCTATGGATCCTTTGATATTTCGGGTTTAATTAATAAAAATGGAAACGCTACTCCTGTATGTATGTACATATGTATAAAACCAACAAGGCCTAAGAGAAGAAATTCGGTGACGAATTGAATCATACATAACTGATCACCAGTGAATAGCGGCTTAAATATTTTTAATAACTTTTATGCAACATACAATATATATGTTATGAGATTTACGACAATTCTTCTCATAAAGTATTTTTACAGTGCGTGTAATGGAAGTTACACAAAGAGGATATACATCGGAATAATAAAATATATGTATATATATATTATAATGGAATGCAACATTGATTTTAATATTAAGATTCCGACAATATTACATCGCATCTCTGCTTATTACAACACATTGACACGAAATCCATCATGGTCATATCGCCGCAAACAATCTTGAAAATAAAAATTTTCAAGAAAATACAATACTTTTCAAATAATTGAAAAACTTGTCTTTAACAACTTGCATTTACTGCAAAATCGGATCTGCCATATTTTCACGGCCAAGGCATGTTCATTCAAGATACCTACGTTTCCTTAAATTGCAAAAATCTATACAATCAATTTCGAAATATACATCAATATTCAAGTTGCTCCGTATACTAGTTTCATAGTACCTTGATTTGCGTTGTGTTCTGCATTTTTCTCAAAGCCAACGTTATTGTTTAACTATCGAATATGAAACTATTTAATTCCTCGGTATTTTTTTATTAGATGCAATTTTTCTGCTCGTAAAGATAATAGATATTATTGTATAATATTTTTGGCTTTCTGGTATACACATATTCAGCATTTTATTCACATCAGAGGGTCGACTTCGAATGATAACAATTCCTTCAAAATACATCTATTATATTCGTGTCTCACTACTGACAGTAAATAAAAGTAAAAAAAAAGAGGGAAAAGACGGAGATATCATGTTGCCATAGCTAGGAATTCTTAATGAAGAATGCTAAGTGGTGTATGATGGCTGCACAACATGGCAAAACGTTCTCTAAGCATTTGTCGGAGTTTTAGCCGCTTCTCCGTGAGTTGACATACCCTCGATTTGAATTCTAATACTTCCTCCGCTGGAATATAACTCTCCTTCTCATCGTCGTCAGAAAAATAGGAATCCTGAGGACCAAACAGGATTGCCACATAAAATTTAAATTTCTTTACAGAGAAAACAAATTCTTAAATATTTAGAGTGCTTTCCAGCAATACACACAGGTGACTCTGTATAACATACTGTACAACCCAATGCTTTATAACTACGACAAGTAGACACAATCGTACACAGTTAAAATGCAGTTTTTGATCGTGTCGTTTTGTCTCTTCTTCTTGTGAAAAAGCTATGTAAATGACTGTTCTGCGCTTTAGTGTAATAAAAAAGTTAAGCAGCGATCCAGTTACTAGTCACTCAGCGTATGGCTGTGTTCTGTTTCTAGAAAGCACCCTATATATCTCTCTGTTATCTCAAATTCACCTTTAACATTTGCGTAAGTGTCGGACCTCCCTCTTGTAGTAAAGAGATGCTAGAACTGGAATGATTAAGTTTATCATGACAAGCCCCGTCACACCATTCATCGTTGCAAGCAACTTCGGAACCTTCTGGTGTGCTAGGAAGAGAAGAAGTGCTGATATTGTGCTCGGAAGAGTATCCGCAATCCTGAGACGATTGCTCGCTTAAGGAATGGTTTTTTCTCCCGGACATTTCGAAACGTTTCTTCATCTCTATCCACATGTATTTAGTTTCATTGGGTTCCGTTATCCAAGCATCTACCAGTTCATTAGTCACGGAATCTTTGCAGTTGTCAGCATAATGCCACTGATTCTCATCGACTTTCTCACCATCCTTAGAGAGAGGAAACAAATCGAAACGTTTTAGTTTAGAAAGCTCGACACACATCCACTATAGCTATACGAAATTGACAACTGTAGTTACCTTACACGACTCGCAAATATCGGATGAATCCTCCTGAGATAATTGTTTGCAAGGCGTACTATTCGGTTTCGATTGACTTGCATTAAGTTTTTTCTTTGTTTGGGAGGTTTTCGCTACAACTTCCTTTTTAATTATAACTTTCTGTGAACCTTTTTTCACAGGGAATGCTAATTCTGTCTTACTTCGTGACTGCGATATACTAGGCGTTTTCGACTTGTTTAAGCAATCCGGACATTTACACGTCGGCGGACCTTTGTTTTTTGGATCTAGGACCTGCAACTAAGATCAAAGAGAGGCGATAGTATACAGTATGCATACATATATGTATGTAAAATTAGGTCTCACACCTTATGTCGGTTGATATTCTGCGTCGTTGGCTTTGAGTCCGCACAAGTGCAAGGGGTTTCACTTTGCCTCTCATTTGAACACTATGGTAAAATATACAACTTAGTCATGCGTAGACACAAACACGTTAATTTTATTTACGTAAATTTACTTTATTTCCAGTAAAGAGAACTTAAAAATCAATAAATTTATGAAGAAACGTCTTGTATACAAGTACAACGTACATCACAGGAGTTTTCTTTCTCCTCTGTTTCGTTGCGACGTCCCTTCTTCTTCTTGCGTTTAAGGCGTAATTTTTCACGCTTGTTCTGTTTCGCTATTTCTTCCCTCGTGAGTTCCTCATACAATAATTCCAACTGAGAGATACCTTGTTTCTTTTCGACCGCCACCTAACCAAGACAAAATAGTAGCTTTATTGCAAAATGTTCCATTGCGTGAATGTAATTTTCTAATATTACTCAACAGAGCATATTATTGTACAAAATCTGTTACCCGGAAATTTCTAGACAACGCGTCCACCGCAACAGCGGCCAATACTTTGCACACAGTCTCCTCCTCTTTCATTCGTCGATGTATTCTGTGCAATCGTTCCGCGATACATATACCTAAGCACGTAAGTACTTCTTCTTGAGCAATTTCCAGCGTTTTCGCGTGGCGCTCCCTGAAATTCGGAAATATCTCTCATTATTTCTTCCAAGACACTACATTCCGGAGAATGTATTTCTATATATTCTTGAAATATATTCTATAATTTCTAAATAATCTTGAAAATCAGTACCTTCCTATAAGCGCCCACGGTTGCGCGCGACCAAGAAGAGTAGTCATGTATTCCGTGATGGGTGGCAGATGAACGTGATGATCGGCTATGCAACGCTTAATTCCAGAATATAAAATTGCTACGTAACCTTTTTCTTTCGTAGGTTCGGGTTCTCGTGTCAGAAGAGACGATGCCAATAATACCTTGTTACGGCATTCGGCGCAAAACCTGACAATCACAATCGCGTTATGGAAGAGTTACGGAATAAATGTACGTGAAGCTACATACCTATGTTTACGTAGATAAGTATCTAAAGCTTCATCAAGCGTATCCGTCTCTATTAAAGTCAATTCCTGCCGGCATGGTAGCTCCATGCAATCCCACACTTCCCTCCAAGAGTTCCATATCGGCGGCAACCGCTGGATCTCCAAGGTATGCAGTACGCATCGCTGAGATTTTCTATTTCTTTGTTGTTTTTTCATTAAATTATTTAACCTAGTGCTGTGGAGATGGAAATAATGATAATTCTTTTACACGCCTGTCTTAGGGTAACATTCTCGCGTCCTGTATATCTATACCTATGTCCGTGCAATAGTGTACAGAGCTGTTGAGGCGATTTCAAAACGTCATCTTTTATAGACAGCATACCATTGGACGTGATAACCAGTGGATCCAATGCAGGATGCCCCGACTTCATTAGATCATAGAACAATCTTTCGACACTGAACACAAAATATTTTACAATCACTTAATATTACTAATGATATATATTATTCTAATAAAAAATTATTTCTAATTGAATACAGTGCAATAAGGAACCAAGTGCCATTAGAAGCGTTTCTATTTTGTCCTAATACATTACGTG